TATATATATATATATATATATGGGGTCTAACAGCGGCGCTTGGTACTCATTTTTTTTTTGAAAAAATCTAATGATTGAGGGAAATATTTATTGAAATAATACAAAGAAGGTTGCCAATCCTCTAAATGACTAGTGTGCGATGTTATAGATGAAAAATGGATCACTTAGAAGCGAAAGAGGAGAGAGAAAATAAAGAATAAATATGGTATATATGATACAAACAAATACTCAATAGCAAAAATGCTGTGGCAATATGGTGTACTGGTATTTCTTTCCCATTACAGATTATTTTTCTGTTATTTGGGTTTCTAATAAAACTCAGCACACGCTTCTCCTTTTTTAAAGTTCGCTTTCTATACTATCTACTCAAGTTTACTTTCCAAGAAGTTTAACCATTTAGTCTAATCCACATACTTTTAGTACCAATAATTTAATTAATACTACTTTATCATGTCATACGCCAAAGATCAGACCGAGAACCAATCACACACGAACGAGCAGCTTTGCCATAAGTGCGGCAACCCTGGCCACTTTGCGCGCGAGTGCCCCAATTCTGATGATCGAAATGCTGCCGGGAATGATAACACCTGCTTTAAGTGCGGCGAGAAGGGTCACTATAGCCGGGACTGCACTAACCCCGCAAAGGCGGGATCGGCTGGGAACATATCCTGCTACAGATGTGGCGAGTCCGGGCACATGAGCCGAGATTGCCCCAACCCTGCGAAGGCGGGCGCAGCAGGTGTGATATCCTGTTACAACTGCGGTGAGTCCGGGCACATGAGCCGGGATTGCCCGAAGCGAAGCCGTTTGGGGAAGCGGGATCGTGATGGGGGGAACGCCGGTGGTGACCGTTCATGTTACAGCTGCGGTGAGGCCGGTCACATCTCGCGCGATTGCCCCACCAAGAGATACCGTGGCTCAAGCGACAAGACCTGTTTCAAATGCGGTGAGGCAGGCCACATGAGCCGTGAATGCCCCAACCAACAAGGTGGTGGCAATGGTGACCGTTCGTGTTATAACTGCGGCAAGAGTGGGCACATAAGCCGTGAGTGCCCGGACGAGCGTAGCGGCAATTATCAGCGTAATGGTGGGAATCGCACCTGCCACAAGTGTGGTGAGATGGGCCACTTCGCACGTGAATGTCCCACTATCAGCGGCCAAGCTTAAGCGGGAAAAAAGGAGAACTGTGCATATGAATGTTTGTATGTGTCAGACTCGTCCGATCATCCGGTAGACCAGGAGTGTGGGAAGGGCTTGACAGCATTTCACAAGACTTCTTGAATGCAAGGAAGAATTCACAAAAATACACACCTTTGTATTTTTTTCTTTTCTTTTTTTGCGATTTTTTGGTTTGAGTCAGGTAATATGAAGCTAATCGTAAATTTATAATGTTGTAAGGGAAAATGAATCATAAATTTCATTCCATTATGGCTGAACTTAACAACAAATGAGTTCCACTTTCTGAGAAACAACACAAATCAATCAATTTTAGAGTCACTCCATTTGATTCAAAATATCCCATTGTTGCTTATTCATGCACTCTTTACTGACGTGATATAGTGAAGTCTTTGTTATTTGTTCAATGCTGAATTTAATAGATCTAGCTAATTAAGAATAATATATCTAAGGTAAAAATGAAGGAACTAATATAATTTTTTTGAATGCTTATTGTTATTTCTTTTAGGGGGAAAAACTTCTTTTGAGTGCATCAGAATCTAAAAATTGTACGTTATAATGAAGTTCGCATAATAGGCTTGTTAAAAAAAAAAGTAGAACAATAAGGAAAAAAAGGGGAAATGAATAATGTGGGAAAATACTTAAAATTTTTAACAATTAAGGTCAATTATGCAATGATTAAATTAGTGTTTTAAAAATTAAAAATAAATTTGTGTTACCTAACATTTAATACATTATGACCAAATTATATTAACTTTATTCTAGTTTTTTTTTCAAGGCTCTTTCTTTTTGCACTTTATGTGTTACGTATTTCAAGTATGATAAAATCACACGGAGAAATTTGTAAAGCAGATTGAATGTCTTCTATGTAGAAACTCTATTTGGAATTGGTCGTCTCGAAGCATGGTGGTGTCTGGAGTTAATTATTGATTCGAGTTTATGGATTGGTGCAAGGAGGAGTTGTGGACGTTTACATGTGCAGAGTCGAACTGAACAAGACATTTTTTCGTATGAAAGTTTATTGAGAATGAATTGGGGTTGTAGTTCATGTTGGAAAAGGTGTACGGAGCAATTCGAACCTGTGTAGGGCGTGGAAGAAGTGGAAGCTAACATAATAAAAGAGGATAAAGTCTTTATTAACCTACATTACCCACATTTTGGCAGTTTGCTACCGAAGATTCAGCTTTACTCATGTGTGGATGAGTCCTTTTCTTGTGTATGATACCCTATCTCTCTTTTTTCTAGTATAATCAAATAATCAAGGACATATATTCCGTTCTGTAGGTGTTAAGCAGAAGTGTATGTTTTTTTTTAATAATAATAAATGAATTTTGTAGCACAAAAAATTGGCAAGCTAACCTGAACGAGTGCAACACCATGGCCTTTGCATTTTTCATTGGGATTTATGACCTCGCCTTTGGAAGCATATTTTCTAATAGTTGCACTGGTTTGGTTATTCTCTCTTTTGGTAGATGCGTTTTCTGTGAACTGTGATGGTAATGAAATTTCCATTTTCACACTCAGCACATGTTACCTAGTTCAATATTACTGCATCTTTTTTGGGGGGATATACATATACTAAATCAAATCTTTGATTTCATTAGTGTTAATTCGGTTTTCTACTTGTTCCTTTTCTTCCCATTTGTATCAGCAATCATTTTTTTGGTTTTTAATATTATTGCTATTTTTCAGTAGAAATATTCTTATTAGCTCTTGTACAACCCATAGCCCATTACTTTTAAAAGGAAAAAAAATCATATTCTACGCTTAAAAAATACCAGGTTAAGAAAAATGAATTCTCCTGTTATTGTCAACGAGATTTTCCAGCTCAACTCCATCCCTGGAGGCCTTCGCCCTGGCACTATTTCCTTTAAAAACGTCACTATTGATGGTGAAAAGTATGTGTGTGTACGTGACGTGCAAGAAAATAAGCAAACCTCACTTGTTATTGCTGATTTGGTTAAACAAGGGAGTATGCGAAACAACATCAAGGATGCTGAGTCGGCCATTATGAATCCTAACTCCAAGATTCTTGCACTTCGCAGTGGTCGCAACATGCAGATTTTCGACGTGGATGCATCAAAGCGACTTAAAGCACTGGTCTTTCACGACGACATCGTGTTCTGGCGTTGGGTTGACGTTGAGACGGTGGGCATAGTCACAGCAACAACGGTATACCACTGGAGCTTAAACACCGCATCGGACACTCCCCCGGAGCGAGTCTTTGATCGTGGGGAGGATTATGGGGCCTCAGTCCAGATTCTTTCTTACCATGTGGATGAAAAAAAGAAGTGGCTCGTCCTCACTGGTGTTACTCGTGAAGGTACCAGCACCATTGGCAAGGCACTTCTCTACAGTGTAGAGAATAGGAGTAGCCGCGTACTCAGTGGTCATGCCTGCAATTTTATCACTACTACCGTGCCGAACGAATCTCGACTGTGCAACATTATGTGCATGGCCTGGAATAACCCTCAGGAAGGAGGACAGGTGATGATTATGGAGCTTCCTACAAGTGAGAAAATGGATCTCACCTTGACCAGGCGAATCTACAACGTTCGCATGCAAGAGGGCGACTTCCCTATAGTGATGCATATATCCGAGCGTCACAAGCTTCTCACAGTTGTCACCAGTCGCGGCATGTATGTGTTGATGGACATTTTTACCGGTACTATTCTGGCTTCACAGCAGTTTACGCAGGCGGTTATTTTTTCTGGCGCGGAGGATCGTACTACCGGTGGGATCATTTGTGTCAACAACCAGGGCTCCGTCATACGTGTTGCACCGAACGACACCAGCATCATTCCTTTTGTTAAGAACCACATGCAAAACCCACAGCTGGCGATTCGCATTGCGGAATCGGCAAACCTTGGCGGTGTTGATGACCTTTTCCGGACGCAACTGGAGAGCTACTTACAGTCTGGGAACGTAGAGGCGGCCATCCGTATGTGCTTGCGGGCTCCTGGTGGGGCGCTCCGGACTCCCGAAGTTCTGCGGCGTTTTCTGCAGCTGCCTCAACAGCCTGACCAGCCCCCAGCCATCTCCGTCTATTTCAAGCTGGTCCTGGCTGAAACGAAACTGAACGAATTCGAGTCTGTAGAGCTGGCACGCGCAGTGCTCCCAAAGGGAGGGATCGGTTTCGTGAAGCAGCAGCTGGAAGAGGACAAGTTAACCCCTAACGTTGAGTTGGCCGACCTTCTGCAGCGTTTGGATCCAGATATGGCCATGAAAATTTATCACCAGAACTCCGCACATGCTAAGGTAGTCAACGTGCTACTGCAGTCCAACCAGACTCAGAAAGCGGTCGAGTACTGTAAACAGACTAATTTTTCACCGGACTGGAGGGTTATTATGGGCAATTTTATTCGAGCAAACCCACAAGATGCCGTCAGTCTTGGTCTCATGTTGTATCGCGAAATGGGCGATAAACCGATACTAAGCGCGGATGAAATTCTCGATATGCTTGTCTCAACTCAAAATATTCAGCAGGCCACAGAGTTTCTGCTTGAGATGCTGCGCGACCACAACGATGAATCAACCATCGACTTACAAACAAAACTGCTAGAGATCAATCTAAAGTATTCTCATCCATCTGTCGCGGAGAAAATTTTTGTCCGTGGGATTTGTCTCCATTATGACCCCATAAAGTTGGCCCCATTGTGTGAGCGCGTTGGGCTTTATCATCGGGCCATAGATTGTTACATCATCGCTCAAAGAGATGATCCCAGCACAAACAATCTCCCCAACATCCGCCGCTGTCTGGAGCAATACCATACCCTAAACCCCGAGTGGATGCTAGAGTTCTTTGGAAAACTTAACAAGGAGGAGGGTCTTGTGTGCTTGTCTGATCTTTCCCAAAATCACAAACAGAACTTTAAGGTTATCGTTCAAGTGGCCACAAAGTACAGTGATGCCCTTGGAACCAGGGACCTTATTAACCTTTTTCTAGAAAAAGGGTTGTTCGAAGTTCTTTATTACTACATTGGTGCCATTGTACCCTACACGAATGATCCTGAGGTTCACTTCCGCTACATCGAAGCCGCAGCAGAGATGGGGCAGATACAGGAGCTGGAGCGTATGACTCGTGAGAGTCCTTGCTACGAGCCTGAGCGCACTAAGAGCTATTTGAAAGCTAAGGGCCTCACTAACATATGGCCTTTCATTAACGTTTGTGATGCTCACGACATGGTGAATGAGATGGTGCACTACCTGGTCAGCACGGGTAATGAATCTTGTATCGAGCAATACGTAATGCGCCGAAGCCCTGGGAAAACGCCACAGGTGGTTCAAGCTCTCATTGAGTGCCATATGAGTGAGAACTACATCAAGCATGTGATGAACGCCGCAGGTGCCATGTGCCCCATACAAGAGCTTGTCGACGTTGCCGAAAGTACTGGCCGTTTGAGTATCATCCGGGAATGGATCCAGGATCGTTGTAACGAGAGAAAAACAGATACTGCACTATTCAATGCGCTTGGTAAGATTTACGTGGACTGTGGTGAAAATCCGGAGGCATTTCTATTAGAAAACGAATACTACGATCCAATGATGCTTGGGAAGTACTGCGAAAACACAGACCCCAATTTAGCCTATATTGCCTACACACGTGGTAATTGCAGCGAGGCAATTGTGAGGCTTTGCCAAAAAAACAACATGTACAACCATTTGGCGCGTTACCTTGTCAAGACCCAGGACCTTGATCTTTGGGCGAATGTGCTAGCTTCTGACACCCCTGAGCGCCAGCAACTCGTGGAGGCGGTTCATCAAACTGCACTTCCAGAGTCTCAAATAAGCGAAGAGGTTAGCACAACTGTGCGTGGATTCATGAATGCAAACCTTATTGAGGAGCTGACATCGTTACTCGAGCAAATTGTGGTGCATGGGCAATTCCGTAAGAATCGTTATCTTGAGAACCTACTTATCATGTCTGCCATCCGCACGCGCAAGGACAAGGTGATGGATTATATCATAAGTCTTGAGAACTACGACGCTGTCAACATCGCTAACTTGGCTATCGGCGCGGAATTGTACGAGGTCGCGTTCACTGTGTATGAACGCTTCAACATGAAGAAGGAAGCTATGATGGTGCTTCTGGAGAACCTCAAGGACCTCGCCCGAGCCCGCTCTTTCGCACAGAAAACGGATTTTCCGGAAGCATGGGGAATACTGGGTGTGTACTTAGTGAAGGAAGACGAAATACACGACGGTGTTGAGTGCCTGATTCGCGGCAAAAACGCAGATGCGGTTGCTGAGGTAATGGCAGCATCCGAGCGCACCAAGCAGTATTCGTATCTTATCAAGTATCTTTTAACGGCGCGTATGTATTCGCGCACCAAGGACGGCAGGATTGATACCGCCCTCGCATTAACCTATGCTAAAAGCGGCCAAGTTATCAAGCTGGAGGAATTTCTCAAAGAGACACACAATGTGAAGATTGGTGATATCGCCGACAAGTGCTTTGAAGAGGAACTGTATGAATCAGCAAAGTTACTGTATCGCTTAGCGAACAATTACGCACGTTTGGCGACGACAGAGCTGAAGCTGAATAGCCTTGCGGGTGCGGTGGAGGCGGCTAACAAGGCTAGATTAGTGCAGACTTACAAGGAAATACATATGGCTTGTATAGTAGCTGGTGAGATGAAGCTTGCCAGCGTTTGTGCGTTGCCTGTCATCCTTAAGGCAGAAGAGCTTAGTGGTATTGCGGATCGCTACGAATCCCGCGGCCTCTGGGAAGATTTGCTTGCTATACTCAAGATGGCTGCGGGCGTCCAAGGAGCACATATGGGCATCTTCACTGAGATTGGAGTTCTTTTAGCCCGCTACAATCCAGAGAAGCTGCTAGAACATATCAATATATACCCCAGGAAAATCAACACTCACAAGATGGTCTCAGTATGCGAGCTATATCACCATTGGCTTCCGTTACGCGTGCTGCAAGTAAATAACGAGGATTGGATGTCTGCGGTGAGTACCATGATGAAACATTACGCCGATGCATGGGATCATGAAGTATTCAAGGATGCAATTCTGCGTATGGGTTCTAACGATACGATCTATTCGGCGATAGCATTTTACATTAAAACTCACCCTGAGTTGCTCAACGATTTCCTCTCCTTCATTTATAAGAAGGCTGAGCCGGAGCGCGTCATGATGGAGGTTGAAAAACACGCTCCTATATACCTTATCCGCACCTACTTGGAGGTTATTCAGGAGCGTAACCTCAAAAAGATTAACGAAACTCTAAATAATCTCTACATAGAGGATGAGGATTTTGATGCACTACATCGCTCCATTGAGTCGTATGACAACTTTGACTTTGAGAAACTTTCGTCACGACTAGAGACGATGAAGCAGTTTGAGTTCCGTAAGATTGCCCTGTTACTCCACCGTAAGAACAAGAACTACGTGCATGCCATCAGGGTTGCTAAGGAAAACAAACTTTATCAGTATGCGATCGACACCTCTTGCGAGAGTTGTGATGCTTCCCTGGTAGAGGGATTGCTTGATTATTTTGTGGAAGATCACCCCGAGTTTTTTGTTTCCTGCCTTTACACCTGTTATGAAATTCTTGACCCTACCGTGGTGATAGAGAAGGCGTGGCGGCATCAGCGCGTCGATATCGCGATGCCGTACCTCATCCAGACGATGCAGTTCTTCATGACCAAAATCCACCGTCTTGAGCGCGTCCTCTCCAACGAGCATGACGCCGCGAGAGAAGTTGCCCGACGTCTCGGCCCTGCTGAAGACGCGAATCGTCCGTTGATGATCGAAACCACGGCTCCAGGGCTTGGCCACGCGGCGCCACCCCCAATGAACATTTATGCCAATCCAGGACAATTCAACACGGGGCGTCCTCTTTAACTTAAGGCCCGATCGAAGAGCGGTGTGATAGAAATAGAAGTTAGACGCGTAGGGAGCAGGAGGAGGGGGGAAATTGGAGGGCGAGACGAGGAAGAGGGGAGAGTCCGGAAGTGGTACTGTTAGTTTATGATGAATAAGACTTTTTTTTTTTTTTTAGGTGTTTCTCTACTCCCCTCCCTTTTTTTCTTTATGGTTATCGCAATGTTTTTCTTTGCTTGACGTTTTTTTTGATAAAGTGCAAACATAGCAGATAATATGATACACTAAATTTTAGTATTTTCACTATTTGCTCTATTATATATCTATATTCATATTGGGAATAAAAGAAGCATAAAAAAACAAGAGAACGAGGAATTTTTGGTTTGTTTCAGGCCTAAATTGAAATTACCAGGAAATAATTTGAATAAAAAAGAAAGGTCTAATATTCTGAAAAATTAGAGGAGTCGTGAGAGCAAGACAGGATGCGGTATAGAATTCATGGACTTTTTTTGCATCTCTTTTATTCATTTTTTTTCTTTGTTTTTCATTTGAGATTTTATTTTTGAGAAAATTAGGGGGCCGGGGGAAGATAGACGATTTTCAATTAATCCTTAGCAACTTTTTTTGTTTTTCTAGGAGAAAGTACAAGCTTACGGGTGAAATTTGGAATTTATTCTTATTCCATAAGAGTCCATAATCCATGATAATTTGTAGTGTGAAATGCATCTTAGATTACTAACAGCCGACAAATTGCATCAACTTGAACAAGCAGTTTGAAGTTGTAGTTTGCCAGTTTACGCGCGTATCTAAGCATTTCAAATATATGTTAGCATCTATAACCGAATTATTCACCCTATATTCTATGAATGTATCAACACAAATTTAATGTATTTTCAGCTATTTCGATTTCTTGAAACCTCTTTTTAAACCTTTCGTGTAGCTGAAGATACTTCTAATATTTTCGCTACACTTTTTAACACACACACATAAAAAGCAACCACATTTAATATTATCTTTTATTACACCTTACAGTAAAAAAAAAGAATTCCCCCTCCCGATGTCTGCTGCACTTACTTGCTTCCGCTGTGGTGAACCCGGTCACATTTCCCGCGACTGCACGGCCGTCAACACGGATTCGCGCACATGCTACCACTGTGGAGAGGTCGGTCACATCAGTCGTGAGTGCCCCAAGGAGCGGGCACAGCGTCAGCCCACGGTCAAGGCCTGTTACAACTGTGGCTCCGAACAGCACCTCTCGCGGGAGTGCCCCAACCCGCCCTCTGGCAGCGACCGCCGCACTTGTTACAACTGTGGCAAGCCTGGTCACCTCAGCCGTGACTGTCCCAAGGAGCGTAACAACAAGGCTTGTTACAACTGTGGTGAAGAAGGCCATGTTTCGCGCGAATGTACAAAAGAACGCAAGGAATAGGCTACTCTGACCAAAAGGAGTGAAAACAGCAATAGAAAACACGGGGTTGCGCATTTCGGGTTTCACGGTGGTTTTCTTTTTTTAGTCCCCTCCTCCTTTTTCTCCCTCACTCCCTCCCCC